AAACCAGTTTATGAAACTTCTGTCCCAGACCCCTTCCAGTTCAAGTTAGCTCACAGTCCTGCCAGCATGCTTTCCAGCCATGGGTTGTGCTGTCTGATCCAGAGAGCAGGGCTGGCCCCGCCCCTCTGCTCTCTAACTGGGGCAGTAAGGGCTGGCTGACAAAGGGGAGGGAGGGGTAGCAAGCCCAGCTGGGGATGAAGTGCAGTCTGCAGGGGAGTGCCCCCCCCAGCAAACCCCAGCTGGGATCTGGGACCAGGGAAGGGGGATAAGCACCCCTTTCCCCACTCAAACTTACTGCTAGCTGCAACTGTGGGCTACAAATCCCAGAAGCACCTGAAAGCAGGAAGAGGAAGTGATGAGCAACCCTGCAGAGTCCTGCTGCTGTAATTCTGGACTGAAAATCCCAGAGACCTCCAGGTAGCAGGAAGAGGACATGAACACACAGCCACAGTTGCTGTGCTCTAGCATCTCTCAGCTTCTGGCCTGAGTCAGTGCAGGCATGTGGCTGCATTTCCTGAATCAAAAGGAAATGTCTGTTCACTTCTATTTCAAGTTAATCTATGCATCTTAGACTAACCTGCAAAGACTGAATTGAATCAATCTTAGGCTTTTTAACTGTCTGTACTTAGCCAAAGCTGCTGAACTAGAACCAGTTCTAGTGCTACTACAAGCTGCTGCTGTGGCTAACTTCCCCAGAGTAATTAGTCTACTCCTGACTGAGAAAAATGAGATGATGGTGGTGGTGTTACCTTGAGCAAAACCTTCCAGCAGAACACTCAAAGAGAAACTGTAAATTTTGTGCTTGATGGTCAGGTCCAATTTTGAGCCAGATGGAGAGGGCTGATTGGCAAAAACCGCTTGGGAGGGGAAGGGAAGGGTTGGAATGCAGCCGCTAGGGTTCTATAGAGTCTGCTGCAGCCACAGCCTGTTTGTTTTAGTTTGGGAGTATCATTTGACTATTTGAGTTAGGTTTGAGATGCTGGTTGTAGTTTGGGGTCTTAGTTTAGGAGTTCAGGGCAGTTTGAAGCTCTTTCTACTTTAGAAGTAAATTTAAGTTTAGAGTTTGTTCTGATCCAGGGTTTTTATGCCAGGCCTAAGACTGGAGTTGGATGTCTTTTCCCAGTCCCTTGGTCTTAAGGATGGTGGAGGCAGCATTAATCAAAATAAAATATTTATATCTTCTTAGGCAACTATTACAATCTTGCAACTTGAGCTAACAAGCTTCAGCTCAGGTCTTAACTTATTTTTCTATGTCTTTAGAGCTAGTGACAGACATTCAAAAAGTCGCAGCTTGAATTGATTCAGCCTTTGCAGGGTAGACTAACCTGGCTAGGCTGAACTTGTTTGTAACCAGACAGACATTCTCTCTGGACTGAGGAAATTCAGGCACATACCTGCAGTGGCTCAGGCTAGAAGCTGGGGGCATTAGCCCTCCTTTCCCTTCTACAGAGTGGGGGTGTGGCCAGGCCCTGGCAGGAAGTTCTGATTAGGGAGGTCCGCCTGCACCATCCCAGGCTTTTCCCCGCTCACTGCTTAAGGGGCAGGAGTGTTGCCAGCCCACAGCCCCCTGCTAGCACTCTGAAGCAAGGGCGTGGTGGGGCATGCATCTGTTGATGATACAGAGCTTTTCAATCTTCCTCCCCACTTTTTTATACTGTCTGCAACAAACTGACAGGCAAGCAAGCCAGTAGGGAGCTGATAAGTGTTTATCAGCCCATCAGCAAAACAGTAGCCTTTCTCCATTAGTTCAAACTCTTCTTAAACAGCTTACCAGCTGACCTGTTGATTAGCTCCAAAAAGCCTTAAGCGGTTACTGCTCTCTCTGCATGTCCCAGTGAAACTGGAGATGCACACAGACACCTCTCAGCATTAGCTAGCATACCACATGCCTAGGGTCCATGGGGCTAGGGTCTGTGCTGTGGCAGATGGGATTCCTGCTTTACCAGCAGGGGGGAGCCAGGCAAACCCTGCTGTAGCTGCAGTCTCTGCCAGAGCTCCAACCAGGAAGCAGAGGGGAGGGCCCAGCTCTTCTGTGGAGCAGACAGTCCTGCCCGACCCAGAGAAATTGCTGGGATTTTGGGGGAGTCTGGTCTATCTTATACCAGCAAGGGGGCTGGGATAGACATTGCATAAAACGGTTTGACCCAAATCAATTAAGTCTGATACTACATTCAACCAGGTTTATCTCAAGTCAGTTTCAGCCATTTTCAAACTGGTTTATGTGCACTGAGCTTCTGTTCCGTTACAGGTTTAAACCAGTTTCTGATCGCTTAAACCAATTTCTGTGTAATGTCTGTCCCTAGCCTAGTAGACTTGCAATATTCTTTTCTTTTGTGGTGGAGAAAGTAAATGGTGTTTTAGTATTTACCTTCTTTTACAACAGTAGAAGTAGGAGACATGCGAAGAAATTATCAGGAGGCAGGTTTAGAAAGTTCTTTTTTGTACAGTATGTAATTAACTTGTGAAACTCATTGCCTCAAGGCATTGCAGAAGATGACAATTAGGTTCACAAGCAATTCATGCAAGATAGACCTATCAGTAAGTATTAAACTTCATAATAATGGGTCCAAGCTCCAAATTAGGACCTCCTAAGCCTCTTAAGTGCTGGAAACTGTAAGAGAACAAGGGCAGGGGACAGATTCATAGATTGTAAGGCTGGAAGGGACCTTGGAAGATCATTGGGTCCAGCCCCCTGCACCAAGCAGGAAAGATAACTGGGGGTCAGGTGACCCCAACAAAGTGAATGAATGTCTAGTCTCCTCTTAAAGATTTCCAGGGTAGGTGATTGCACCACCTCTGGAGGGAGCTTATTCCACAGTCTGGACACCCCGACTGTGAAGAAGTTTTTTCTAATGTTGAGCCTGAACCAGTCTTCCAGGAGTTTGTGGCCAACTTGTAGATCACAATGAGTTGGCCCAGCATACCTACTCTTCCCCTTATTCTCTGCTCTCTACTCTTGTGAGATACTGGGCTAGACAGACCGAGGGTCTGGCCTAGTATGGCATCCCACTTTTCCTTTTAGTTTAGATGAAGGAGTCTTGGCATACCAGTCAGCCTAATGGGGTCTCTAACTCAAATACTCATCTGCTATCAACAAATAACATCTGTTACCCATTGATTTTTACTATGCAGTTTCAATTATCTCCCCTCCTGCCAACTGATCTATGTCATAGAAGAAAAATAATTCTCACACTTATAACCACCCCTGTTCTTTAAAATTACTTTGGCTTCTTTTCTATGACTGAAAAAGTCCTTTCAAAAAGACTTTACTGAACTACAGAACAGGTGACATGCAGCTCTGTATAAATCAGTCTCAGAAACAGGAGCCATACACCATTAAAGTGGGGAAATTGTAACATTTTCAGTAAGTCAACTAGCACTTGTTTCTAGCCTCAGGGTGTCTCAAGATACCAGACATAAAAAGTTTCACATGTCTATTTAATACCATTTCTAAGAAAGTTTTGTTCTACTGATCCCTGTACAATCTACATGCTAAAAAAGTTATAGGGATTAGAGTACCTGGCTTGCAAGAAACCATAAAAGTGCCATAGCGTACCAGGATGCAAGAAATCATAAGAAAATGAAAATGCTATAAACATTAATGCAATAATCTTTCCTGCAGCATATGGGTGTTGGGGGGGTGCGTGCAGTGTAAAGATTGTATCAGCACTTTTTCACAATGACCGGTATAACTCTAGCTGCTCCAGTTATGAAAAATGCCCCACTACAAACTCCTGCCAATATAACATTTCCATTTTATCACTACACATTCTGGGTACATCCCCAGCCAAATGCTCTCCTTGCCTGCATTTAACAAAAAGCATACAGAAAATCACTGTTTTCCTTTAAGCATATCATTTCTGTTTTTTTAGCAAGGATTCCGTCACCTACAGTCACTCAGAAACACCATGCCACACCTGTGTGCTCCACTTCCCAGCTGCTGACAAATCCAGCACAACCAAGATGGGATAATGGCCATGACCTAACGCCAACATAAAATGAATCATCCCTCTGGTCAAGGCAGTCTCTACATTGTGAGCTGACCGGAAGCTGGGAACTGAAACTAGTCTAAGACTGACAGTCTCATAATGGCCCTGGAACTGAGAAACCACTATTACTGAGGAAAAAAAAACATTTCCCATCTAGAGATAGTTTGTGTGTACAGTACTTTTCACAGGACAGCCCCAGTTCCCTTCTTGGGCAGCTGTCAGGAATTAGACAGAGGAAGGTGGCCAATATATTAAAGTGCTTAACAGCAGGAAGAGAAATGAGGCCCTTACATCCATCTATTGTAAAGTTGCCATTTTAGCATCCTGAGCCTGTGGGTCTTAAATGGGCTCTTCTTAGCTGACTCATGGAAAAGAATGGCAAAAAACAAGCATTGTTAAACTAATTGCTGCTGGAGGGATCCTTGGTGTCTCCCAGAAGCAGATACAAGACATACCTAGCAAAAACACTATCATGTATGGAACTTGTTTCTGATAGGTAGCAACCACAGTACACCTGTTCAACCAAGTGAAAAACAGATGTAAGAGGCAGGTAAAAGGCAGTGACACTGCCTCCAGGGAGTTTTCCCCATATTGTTTTTCATTTGCTAAAAGGTGTCCAGGTCCTTCAGCTGTGGGCACTGAATAAATACCAGTCATAAAGCATACTTGGTGACTAACTTGTTTACAGAGACCATGGGGTGTCTATGTCTAGCATGATTTAGCACAAAAGCATTCAGGTCTTTCACTGTTCATGTTTTTCTTTCTAATGGGGGGGAGCATGAAACACAGACCCAAAGAACATCTGTTTTTGTTTGCTGTCAGCCCAAGTGAAGCGTTTCAGTTCTTCTGAAGCCAGCACCATCCCACTGTCTGCTTGGTAATCCTGAAAACAAAAGCAGGAAGAAACTTAGCGTTAAAAGACTAATTTACAAATAAATCCTGTTCTTACTGAGTCACATTTCAGGCACTGACTTTCAATGAGGCTTTGGTTCTTAATAAGCAGAGCTTCAAAGTGCCTTCTCCCACTGACCTCACACACGCAACCAACCCAAAGGTGAATTTTTAAACAAAAAGTATCTCTTATGAACACAGTTGTTTGGTTAACTTAGTTTAATTTTTCCATGGGATCATAACAGCAGAGATAGGGAAACTGATATGGTAAGCCTAAGTGTGAAGCTGAAATACAACTCCTCCCCTAAACCTTTATAAAGTATGGTCTGAGTCATAGATATGCACTTCATTTACCATTACCCCCCATCTACACTAGTGCTAATGCTGCCCGCCTGTAGGACACATAGCTGCACCTTGCTAGGAACCCAGTACTCAGCAAAGTTAGATGCGTGGAGCTGAATTCAGTGCTATTGCCTGTTCTTACTGAGTCACATTTTAGGCATTGATATTCAATGAGACTTAGGTTCTTAAGACTCAGACCCCGTGCCTCCTTCCCACGGATTTTACACACACGACTCTGAGGTGAAGCCCTAGACACTGGAAGCTGCATTATCAGGCTGCTCAGATCTGATAAGACCCTGATTAGCAACTCACGCAGCATTTGTTGGCTGTGCTTCTGTGACCGATTGCAGGTCAGGTCATGGAACTCAGCTAAGCCAGCCTGTCTGCTGAGGATACACTGCTACTCCTTGTCTTGCGTTCTTCAGCTCTTAGCCTATTACAGCAGCATTTCTAAAAAAGTCCCCGCTTTTCTAAAAGTACATAATATTGCACTGCACTAATAAAAATAACTGAATAAAGACCCAGATGCATTTCACTTAGGCCAGGTGTCACTTACATCAAATACAAAGGTATTCTTGACTGGAAGTTCTTCAAAAGTCTTCACTCTTTGAGTTGGTTTCATTTTGAACGTATTTATGTATCTATTCAACAAGCAAGAAGAAAGAGTGCAAAAGAGAAATAAATAGTTATTTGGTGAAAACTTAGCAAGTGTGCAGTAAAATGGGCAGTCCAGAACAAAGTAAAATAGTGAACTTTTCCAATATTTTAAAAAGCAGAAAGTAATGACAGCTAAATGGTTTGCACTTATACAATCCATTGTATAATAAGAGTAATTAGTGAGGCTACATTCCTATGTTCATAAAAGGCCACTGTTTTCTTTCTTCAGTGGGTCTTTTAGCATATCTCCCTGCCCCACAGTCTATCAGTAGGTTACCTTCTGTTTGACCCTGACCCCAAATTCACTATAGGTCTCAGAAGCCATAACAGCCTCTGCCAAGCCTCATCCACAACTGATACTGTAAAGTGCTGTGGGATTATTTAACCTAGAATTTGTTGCATACTTCAGAGCAAACGAAATTTTGAAATGAAGGCAAGTGTTGATGAGATGGGAGGCACTGGACATCTGCTAGACTGAGGGATTAACAAGAAAGAAGAGAAGCACCAGTTGCCATTTTGAAATCAGGGAAGATGAGAAAAATTAAGGGTGAGGATTATATACAAAGCCCCCCCCCCCCAATGCTTTGAGTCTTTCATTCGTGGCAGGGGAAAGTTTAGGGTAATTTTTATTCTTCTAATCCCCTAATCAAAGCTACATTGGAGAAAAACTCTACTATACCTAGTTGCTGGAATGTCATAAAATAAGCATTTTAGTATTTCCCACCTTACCTCATATTTTCAGTGCTTTCACAATTTGATATTGGAGCAGATACATCTTCATTCAAAGGAGACTTGGGTGCAGTAGGACTTGAGTATGCAAACCCAGTATCTGCAGTAAATATAGCATTTAGGGGAATATAGTCCTTGCCATCCTAAATGCACACAAATATATTAAATTACTACCCAGATAATCCACTCTTTGTGTACAGAAGCATTGTGTACAGAGATATTGGTGAATGTTCTTTATTTCTCTACCTGTTGCACTTTTGCTTCAAGCAGGTCCCCTAATCTTTTCACCAGCTCTGAAAACTTTGGTCTTTCATTGGGATTGCCATGCCAGCAGTCCAGCATGATTTGGTAGCTGTAACAATAAAGCAAAAATGAGTATACTCAGTGTTAAAGCTGGTTTTGTTTGTTTACTTGTTTAGAGTAGCAGATCAGTGATATTAATGTTGTAATGGCAGTATCCTAACACTGGGTTTGTTTATTGTCGTTCATGTTAAGTAGTCATAGGATTGCAGGGAATGTCCACTCGTGGGTTAGAAATTGGCTCCAAGATAGAAAGCAAAAATAGAGTATAAATGGTCAGTTTTCAGAATGGAAAGAAGTAAACAGAAGGGTTGGGACCCATGCTTTTTACCATGTTCATGAATGGACAAGCAGCAGTGGCCAGATTTGCAGATAATACAACATGATTTAAAGTGGTGAAGAACAAGGTGGGCTGTGAGGAACTACAGAAGGATCTGGCACAAGTGAGTGAATGGGCAACTAAATGGCAAATGAAATTCAGTATAGAAAAGTGCAAAGTGATGCACCTGGGCAAAAATATCCCAAACTATACATATACTATGATCGGCTTTACATTAGGTCTTACCACAGAGGAAAGACACCTGGGAGTCATTGTGCACAGTTGGTTAAAAACATCAGCCATAAGAAAGGCAAACAAAATGTTAGGGATTATTAAGGGAATTGTAAACAAAACTGAAAGTATCATCATGCCCCTTTATAAATCTGTGGTGCTCCGCACCTTGGATACTGTGCTCTCAGTTCTGGGCACCTCAAAAAGGAGGTACAGAGAATGAGGGCAGAGGGCAACAAGGATGATTAGTGGTATGGGTGGATATGAGGAGAGACTGAAGAAGCTAGTCCTATTCAGTTTCGAAAAGAGACACTTGGGGGTGGAGGGTGAGAAGGGTTTACAGAACACTATATGGCAAAGAGAAAGTAAATAGGGATTTATTATTTACTTTGTCTCAATGCAAGAGCTAGGTGTCACAAAATGAAACTAGCAGGTAGTAAGGTAAAACTAACAAAAGGAAGTCCTGTTTCATGGTGTGTAATTAAAAGTGTGGCACTCATTGCCACCAGATGTTGGAGGAGCTGACAGTTTAGCCAGATTTAAAGAGGAATTAGACAAATTCTTGGAGGAAAGGGTCATCAGTAGCTATCGAGCATGGGGGTTGGGGATACAGCCTCTGAATCAGAACTTCCGTGACCTTAAATGCCGACGGCTGCAAATGAGAGAGGAACGGCGGGGAAAAAATCCTGGTGACACCCGGTTCACCTTCCCTTTCAGCATCCACTCTCTGCCTCTGTGTGACACAGGATACTGAGCAAGATGGACTTATGGTCTGACCCAGTAATTGGCAATTTTATGTTCTTAAGAGGTAGGCACCTATGAAAGTCCAAAGGGCCTATGTATTTTAACCTGGACAATACCAGAGACTCTTACTAACAATAAAAGAGCAAGTTTTGAAAAAAAAAAAGAATATTTCTGGGAGAACAGATGCTTCCTAAAAGGCAATACAACTCAGGAAGGTTGCAAAATGAGGATAATTAAATTAACAGAGCCTTTTTTTTATTCTTAACAAAAACTTTAAACTATTGTATTAAGCATACATTTAACTGACAATGTCTCATGGAAGGCACCATAAGATGACATATGAATGCTTCACTTCCTTGTATTGGTCAAAGTTTAGTTTTCCTTCCTGCAATAAAATATTTGAAACAACAAAAAAGCTTTTATTAAATGTCATTAGGATAATAAAATGAACTGGTAAATTATACTCCCAGAGATGATTAAGACTGATTTGTATACTTTCAGTCCTCCTTATAACATTTTTTGATAAGTGTTACTGTGTCTTGTCACTGAGGTCAACAAAATGAGATCTGGACAAGGTACCTAGAAACCATTCAGTTTTGCTTAGGGAGATGAAACTATCCAAGGTCTGTACTTTTCCTAAATGGTTTGTGCAGAAAAGTGCATTCTGATTTCTGTGATTCAGCTGGAGTTGGCACTGCAGATTGATACTTTATCATTTAGAGCTTTGTTTTCTTTTTTTAAAGCTTGCATGTTCTAAGACAATATTCATTTATCAGATACAAGCTCAGAGCTTTTGCTTACAAGGTAGATTTAAGAAGCTAAGTGCTCCAGTAGTACTCATCAAGATACCAGTTACCATGTCTATTGAACACATGTATCTTCATTTGAGATGAAACTGGGGAACCGGATTCCTTAGATATCTAATTCCTCAGTCTGGTAGCAGGGTACTTCTAGGGCAGGTAGTGAATGCAATTTGCCATTGTTTGACCAGGCTGGTAGCCTATAAAAAAGTTTGCAGTGTTAAGCCAACTCCTGGTGGATTGTTCTTTGCATGGTTGGCATAACCAGAGGTGACCCAAGCAGGGTGCAGGGCCCAGGGTAAATCAGCCCATGCGGGGCCCCACTCCTGCTCCGATCCCAGACCCGCAGAAGCTGCCACCACCATCAACAGTGGCAGCGGCGGTGGATGTGGGGAGCAAGCAGCTGGATGTGGAGCTGCTGCTCCACCCAGCTCTGCACCACCACTGCTCCGCCCATCTCCACGAGGCCCCCCAAAACACAGGGCCTGGGGCAGTTGCCCCAATTCGCACCCCCTTAGGGATGGACCTGGACATAACTGATGAAAGACTCTAACTTGGAGGTCAAAGACTAAGTAGGCCTAGAGACTGAACTTCCTTTTCATCTTCTCGTTACTGCCATAAAGGGATGAGCCCACATCAGCAAAGCAGTTGTGGGGGACTTTTGTTCTGTTACAACCAAAGTTAATAAAATGATAACACTGTGCACTGGTGTGATGCTTATCAAGTGTATAGTTAAATCTGGGTGTGTCTACACAAGATGCTAACTGCACAGTAGCACTTCGCAGCACAAACAGTGATAATACATTACTGAGCAGTATTATTAGGCTATTGCACAGTAGCATTACTAAAAAGACATTTACCCGTGCTACTGCTCAGTAACTCCAATAACTGACCATTCATTTAGTACTTGATTATACAATATTATTTATTTAAATTAAATGTGCAGTAACCACTGCGCATTAATGAATGTGTACACGTGCCTTCTGGGCAGGAATGAATAAAATTCTTCCTGTTCTTTCTAGCAGTTCCTTTTGAAGGCTGTATGCTGAGCTGAAAATCCATTTTCTCTTGAAAATGTAAGTTAGCCTTGTCCAGAAAAAAAAAAAGATGAATTCAGTGATACTGACCTTGCATTTCTAATGCTTATGGCCTTTCTTTGCAACTTTATACTCCTCCTTCAAGCTATAAACAACACGTTTGAAGAACACACTTGATAGTGTTTGGACTTAGAAGGCTGACAGCCAACTCAGGGAAGGTGCTGTGGTCTTGGGTCCATGTTAATCATTTGAATAATACTGCAAGTATTACCAAATTGTTTTCAAACTCATACAGTGAAAAAGCTGGGGAAGTCTCTATTTGGGATAAGACCGGAAGAAGAGGCTAACAACCATTTAAAAAGTGAGAGCACTTTGGTTTTTAACACAGAGAACACTTTTTTTGGTGACTTAGACATTATCCAGTCTCCAAGGCAGCCTGATAGTGTAAATGCACATCAAATATTTATCTCCTATACAAAAAAACCCTTACATTTCTGTTGTCGCATATTGTGGGGCACGCATTCTTGTGCCTTCTTTCAGTCTGCTGCAGAAGTCCTCATCTATTTGGACACCTGGGTAAGGGGAAGCACCTAAGGACAGCATTATGAAAATATAATAATCAGTACTTGGACCAAGGCAGTTGCAGTTATGATTCATACATGCACCGCAGACAAAATTTAGTTCTAGCATTATATCACTGGAAACAGAAACAAGAGCCAGGATCCTGTAATGCCAAATGTTATCAGCGCCTGTAATCAGTCCAAATTACAGACACTTAGTACCTTGCAGGATCAAGAGAATGAATAATACTTTTTTTTCTTTTCAGGTATATCTAAAATTACTCATTCCATTTAAAAAGAAATGCTCTGAGGAAATGCACTTTTTACTCTATACATACCCAAGAGCTATTATATTCTGTAATAGGTATTAGCACTACCCTAAATTCTAATAACCACAGTATTACCAATTCCTAGTGTTGAAAAGTCAAGCCTAAAAATATTAGATTGACCTAAAAATGATATTTGAGTTCTTTTTCTTTGCTCTTTGGTTCTGATCATTTAGGTGCATTCAAATTCTGTTTAAAAGCCTTTCTTTATAGCTATGGCTGATTGCAGACATTAAACCCTCCCCCCTACTCCCACCCCCAAAATGGCACTTTACTTTTAACCTCAGTGTGTTCCTGCACCAAGCCCAGCACATGGCCAAAAGAGGTATGGCATTAATTGGACCCACCTCGCCCAGCATCTGTTTAGATCAGGCACTCTAGTGGGGCTTTGTTTAGCACTTTTATCTAATAGCTGATTGAATCAGCTATTAAAGTGCCAAAAAGTGCTACTGAAGTGCCCTATCTATACAGATGTTGCAGAGCCAGGCTGTGTACTGCTTCTTCTAGTAAAACATGTTTGTTTGTTTGTTTGTTTGTTTGTTTTAACATCTGCAAGCAGCCTAAGAGAGATTAAAAACTTTGTAAATGAAAGCAGAAATTCTCAAAGAATCACCTGCCTCCAAGAGGTGGAGCTTTATGAAAAACAGTAAATACTGCCATAAGACCACTGGAGTTGGCAGCACTGCTAGTGGCATGTATTCAAACTAATAGAGGATTATTTGTCTGAGGCATTTTGGGATACTCTTTCATCTTCTGTTCTACTCCTGTATTAGACCGTGTTGGGTCCAATTAAAATTCTTCTCTTATGATTAATTTTTGCTCCCTTTCACAAGCATCTTTTTTTTTCTTAAGTTCAAAATGTAGGATACAAAGAAGTAGCTTACTTCAGGATTTAATTTCAGATTCTATGTGCCAGTTCATGCTGCAGTGACTGTTTTGGTGTTTGTGTCTGCAGTTTCCAGTGATTAATGTAAGTTGGAAGGACCTATGAATAGTGGAGGGCTGGCATTGTGTCACTCAAGGGTTATTGTGGCTGGTAGTTTTTTCAGAGACTGGATAGAGAGGGTGTCTGTCATCATACATTTAAGAATATCTTAACATATTCAGAGAAACTAAAGGGGGGAGGGTTGTTGGCATGTTTTCAGCTAGAATTTTTTGTTGTTGTTCCCACAGGAAAACTGAAAAGTTTGGGGGGCAAAAGCTGGTGCTCCTTACAGTCTAAATCATGTAGTACCTAGTGCAATTGGTTATAAAATTCCCAATGACTTCAGTGGAAGCAGGATTATGCCCTAGAAGGATATTAGGTATACAGCAAAGATGCAGTCTCTCAGCCCTAACTTCTCAAAAATTGTCTCAGGCTCCTGTGCAAACATTCTCTTTAAGTGCAGGTGGTAGAGTGGGCCCTGAACTTTATTTTCCAGGTCAAAACCTTTTTGCCTTATGAACAGGTTGCACGCCAAGCAGCAGTTTTTACAGCTGTATTTAAAAGTCAATGTTTTAAAGAAAATTATTTATTTTCTTGTCATGTCTTGAGTCTTGGATTCTGTTTCCCTTTCAAAAACCACCAGAAACTAACCTGGCTGTGTTGTAGTGAGTAGAGCTTGTGTAAATGGACAAGATCCAAAAGTACAACTTTTAGATGCCTAAAGTACAACTTAGGTGGAATTTAGAGGCCTATGTCCGAGTGAACAATGCCAGCCCTTCACACAACCCCTGCCTAACCACTTACAGACTCACATGTATCTATGGACTTACAGGCACCTGAATTTTGGCCAATTAATTTATTCAGACTCAAGCATTAAAGTGAGACATGGGTTTGAACTCCTTCAGGCTGAGGGGGAACCTAGAAACCAGGCCTCCCACTTCCTGCATAAATGCTTTCATCACTAGGCTAATAGAAAATGCGGGGCCACACCAGTTGTCTATACAGGGAACTTGAATGTCCAAGTCAGGTTTGGGAATGCCACTCATAGATGCAGGTGCCTAAAAGTTGGGTATGCTGATTTGGAGCATCTTGTGCATTTTGAGTACCTTTATGGGTTTGGGGCCATAGCTCTGATAAGAGAAAGATGGAGACCCCAATATTTGGTCCTGAGGGAAGAGCTCAGATAGATTTTTGTTACCTTTTCGTAATTTTTAACTTGAAACCAAAATTGTATCACTTATTAGAGCTCTTACAAAGCATTTCACTTTTCAATTTGCCCTGAAGATGTATATAAATGCATGTGCACAGATATAAATCATGCAGCCCTAATGCAGTAAGGGGATGATCCAAAGTTTAATGAAAACCATGGGCACCTCGTCACTGATTAGTTGGTCTTTGGGTCAGGCCCTAACTAGTCCCCCTGTTGATTTTCATTTACTTAGTATACATTAGTCATACCCAAAGAGAATATTTCCCACAACAGTACTCCATAAGACCACACATCGCTTTTTGTATTGTAGATTTTATCAAATATGGATTCTGGAGCCATCCACTTGAGGGGAAGTCGTGCCTGGAACAAAATAGATAAAGTCCTACAATTATTTTCAGGAAAGTGATTCTCTTACTTTGTTCAGCACTGCTGAGGCTTCACTTGGAGTATTGTGTCCAGTTTTGTGACCTGCACTTCAAGGAATATGTGCACAGATTGGAAAGCACAGAGCAACAAAAATGATTGGAAACCTGGGAAACATGACTTATTGATTATTTGCTTATATTTACATAAAACTACAGAATCATTATAGAATAGTAGGGCTGGAAGAGCAGGCTGAAAGAACTAATATAATTTAGTTCAGAGAAGAGAAGCTTGAAGGGGGATTTGATAACACTCTTCAAATATCTCAAGCATGGTTAAATGGATGAACATGACTTGCTTGGGAGGGATCAACATGGCTTTGTCAAAGGGAAATAATAACTCACCAACCTACCACAGTCCAATAAGAATGTCAGTTAACAGGTGGATTGGAGCGATCCAGTTGACATAGTATATTTAATCTTCCAAAAAGCCTCTGACAAGGTCCCCCAACATATGCTCTTAACTACATTAGGTAGTTGTGGGATTAAAGTGAATGTCCACTCATGGATTAAAAATTGGTTCCAGATAGAAAACAAAGAGTGAGTATAAATGGTCAGTTTTTAGGATGGAAAGAAATAAACAGCAGAGTCCCCCAGGGATCTGGCTTGGAATCCATACTGTTTAACATATTCATAAATGAACTGGACAAGAAGGTGAGTAGCAAGGAGGTCAAATTTGTGGATAACAAAATTATTCAAAGTGATGAAGACCAAGGTGGGCTGTAATGAGCTACAGAAGGATCTGGCACAATTGAGTAGATGGGCAACTAAATGGCAGGTGAAATTCAGTGTAAAAAAGTGTGAAGAGATGTACCCAGGCATAAATAACCCAAACTATACTTGATGGTGGGCTTTACATTAGGTCTTACTATTGAGGAAAGACGTCTGGGAGTCGCTGTGGACAGTTTGCTAAAAACATCAGCTCAATGTTCAGCAGCCATCAAGAAGGCAAACAAAATGTTAGGGGTTATTAAGAAGAGATTTGTAAACAAAACTGTAAGTATCATTATGCCCCTTTATAAACCCATGGTGCATCCACACCTTGAATACTGTGCCCAGTTGTGGTCCCTTTAAGTAGATTCAGAAAGGGATTGGACAAATGCTTGGAGGAAAAGGGGTCATCATTAGCCATTGAGCATGGGAGTTTGTGGTACAGCCTCTGAATTCGAACTTTCTTGACTTTAAATGGTGCAGGCTGCAAGTGAGAAGAACAGTGGAAAAAAATTCTGGTCAGACCTAGTTCACTCTCCCTTTCAGCATCTACTCTCTGCCCCTGCGTGTCAAGATACCAGGCAAGATGGACCTATGGTCTGACCCAGTAAGTAGCAATTTTTATGTTCTTATGAAGGATGAAGATAAATTATTCTGTGGCCATAGGGGACAAAACAAGGAGCAATGGTCTTAAATTGCAGCAAGGGAAATTTGGGTTGGATACTAGGAAGAGCTTTCTCATTAAAAGGGCACTAAGCACTGGAACTGGCTACCCAGAGTAGCTGTGCAATCTCCATCCGTAAGAGCCAGTTACATTAACTGGGATAAATAAACTGTCATGGTTTAATCAGAGATGATTCTGCCTTAGGCAGGGGATTAGACTAGAAGATCTTCCTCCTGAGATCCCTTCCAGCCCTATTATTCTTTAATGATTCTATAGTTTTATATAAATATAAGCAAATAATGAACTTTGAAACATGGTTTTACTATAATTTCTTAATTTACAGAAAACCAACTAAAACATTGTCTTAATTATTTTGCGAGGGGAAAAAAGATTTATTTTTCCAGTTTTTTCCCCCCAATCATATGCAATGTAAAATAATTCAAACATGAAACTACCTGGCTTTTAAATAGGAGAACTTTTCAGTAATCCAAAGAGTAATTCCTAGCCTGGGTATAGTACTCTAGGTTTTTAAAGCAATTTATGAATGTTTATTACTCCTATGGGCCAGTCCCACCAAATTCTGTGAAATTCAATGTACACAGGCCCAGTTTGCCCTCACAGCTTTCACTGCAAGGTTAGGTACTTTACTACCATCACTTTACAGGAGGCATGAGTGGGGGGTATATTGGGGAGAGGGACAGGAAGGCCAATAATTTTGTCCTCATTTGCTGAAGCTGCCAAATGGACATGTGCTCCTACAGGACAGGTCTCCTATCGGAAGGCACTGCCCCAGGAAGGGAGAACTAGCCGCACTGGGATTTTTGCCTTATCTCTAGGAAAAACTATCTACATTCCCAATAGGAGGGTTGGTTAGACTTATTCCTGAAGCAACTCCAAACTCAGTGAAATTATTGTGACATGCTAGAAGCAGAATTTCACCCTAGGTATGAGCACAGAGGGACACGGACCTCTTTTGGCATGAATGAGTGTTTTCAAGAAAGCAGCTCAGTGTTAACTAGTTTACTGAGCAGATCTAGCCAAGAAACAAATATCACTATAAACAATTAAGGTACCAGAACTGTAAAATGATTAGCATTTCCAAGCCTTGTTTCTGAGAATGTAAGTGTGCATACAGCACATCGGGATTTCTTGTCTTCACATAAAATCCATGATAACTGTTAGGCCCTTTTAAGTTCAAGGAATGGAAACACTTACAGAATGTTTTAGGGAACAGTTTAAAATGATATGTTATAAACAACTGCACAAATAAAAGCAATGTTGACTTACATCTCCTTTTCTCACATAATCAGGGTTCTTATAAATATCTCTTGCGAGGCCAAAATCACAGATCTTCACCACATTGTTCTCAGATAAAAGGATGTTCCTGGCTGCTAGATCACGATGAATACACTATAATAAAACAATTTCACAATAAAACACCATTTCCTTAGTACAATCCCAAATATCCTGAATGTCTTCTATATCCTTTTTTAATTATTACTATTTGAAAGTTCAATCTAATATTTTCTTAGGGAAGCTGACTAACATTTACATGAAGTTTCTGTAAACAAAGTGTAGCTCTTTACAAACAAACATTTCTATGGACCAAATAGTGCATAAGTCTTTAATCTGTTTAGCATAACCAGGGGAAGTGTTACATGGTTTGGATTTCCATAGTTATTCTATCTTAATTCACTCAGAGTCCAACTAACGCCCTACCTCTTTTGGACATGTGCTGGGCTCGGTGCAGGAACGCACTGAGGTTAAAAGTTATTATATCTTAATTCATTCAGAGGATTTTTTTTTTAGCTTCACCCACCACCTTCCACCTTAATCCTGTGTTTATAGTATGAAGACTTGAATAAACACATGCTTATATTTAGAATATCAAGAGGAAAGCTGTTCTTCCTTTGGGACATTTACCAAGGGAAGGTGTCACTTAAAATTCAGACATCATTTCACCTCTGCTGAATCTGGTTCTTCTGAAGGGCAAAATACAAGAGTGTAAAACTGACCTTTCTGGATGACAAGAACTCCATGCCTCTCGCCACCTGAAAACTGTAGGAAATCAGATCTTCCATTGTAAGGGGCAATTTGTAAAACTCAGCAGACTCTGGAAACAATTTAACACATAATAAGTTTGGGACTGGTTTCTTTTTTCCCCTCTGCTTGTGTTAGCCCAGTAAGTTCACTTTTAATAGAACAGTGCTGGGAGGTCAAACCTCTATCGCCAACAACAAAAATAGTGTTGGTTTTATACCCTGTGCTCTATACACCGGTGTGTTTTTCCCCCAAGATAAGGAGCAGTCAGAAGAAACAATCACACATTTTCCTGTCAGATTCAGTGACCCTGTAAATAATCTTTTTATAAGTCTTCTAGCCTTTGGACATGACCCTATGAGTGTCTCCCACGGATGTTTATTAGGGTGATAAATGAAAAAAAATTCAAAGATGCAAAGCATATTGTAAAAATATCTCAGACTGTGTAGGAACAGGAAGGAATCAATACCTACCCTCATCATCCTCTTCCACATCACTCAGACTTTTATCTTCCTGAAAGCCAGAGCTTGCTAAGCTCTCACTGCTGGTGACACTAGCCAGCCTTTGTTTTTCACCTTCCACCAGTTCAGTATTCTTTTTTTCTTTCATCTGATCCACTTGCAATGATGCATCCTTTGAGCAAATAGAGAGCAAGAGATTCTGTGTCCGAGTAACAGAGACTGAATAGTGCAACAGGGAGGGGGAAAAGGGGGAAAACTGGGAGGGCAAGGACTACCCAGAGTGAAACTTTCTCATCTGTGCTACGTACAAGTGACGTTTCCCTCATCCTTGCATGGCTCTGATGCTCCCATTGGCAAGCACCTAGCCTCCCACTTTAGTTGGTAGTAGGACTATTCACTTGATTAAAAGATGGATCCACTAAGTTGCTTTGGCACAGTAATGCTCAGTGCTGTAGTACCTAGCTTTTAGGTAACTGGTGCTTAATCTGCAGCCCTGTATAATGGGGCTCCTACCCCATTACTGAAGGAGAGAGGGAGCTAGGGAGCATCTGACTGGCTCAAGGCCCCTGGAGGGACTAATAGTTAGGGACCTACTTAACTCCCAGTGAGACAAAGCCATTTTCTTGGCTTTGCCTTGGCACAAAGAGCCAATTTCATGGCTCATTTTCACTGATTGGCGAAGAGGACCTGCCCCTCAGCCCTGCTCACCAGAGAAGCCCCAGGGATTGGGGGGCAAGTGACTGACAGGCCACGGGTGGAAGTGATGGGTCAGGCGACCCAGCAAGGGGGTAGAAGCTGGGACTATGGCTGAAGCTTCAAGAGAGGGGATCTGAACTGCTAGGGGGAAGGACTACAGGCTGCAAGGAGCTGCAAGGAAGCCCCTGCATCACCAGGCAGCAGAGCAAAGTATTTTGACCATATGTTTAGTTTGCTGTCATGGTGTGACATTGACCCAGACTGGGGTGGAAACCTTTTGTTTGGAAGCAGCTGCTTGTATTTTCATTGTGTTGAAGTTTGAACCAGAGGACCAGGTTGTGGCTGTAGAGGAAGAGAAGGCCACTGAGAAGGGTGCTGGGGGAGCACTGCTATCAGCTGAGGACTGTAGGGTGTAGCAAAAGAAGCTGAGGGCACAAGCTCAGAGCCTGTTAAGGTGAGAGAGGGGCCCAGAGCCCACAAGGGCAAGGATGGAGCTGGGGCCCAGGAGCACTAGGGTCCTGGGACAGTGGACCCTAGGTGGAGGGGCCCAGACAGAGTCAAGTGGGCTCATGCCAGGAGGCCGAAGCCCAGACAAGGTTCTAAGGCCTGAAGCAAAACCACTGATCTCTAGAGACAGCCTCCCAGCACAGCTTCACAGTGTGAAGCTATAGCAGGTGAAACGGGTGGACCTCCTGAGAGGTCTGAGTGGTTGAGGGATGGGGAAGAGCCAGGCTGCCACTAGTGGGGTTGGGAAGGTGTGGCCCCTCCCACTCTGGGCCTAGGTATGCTGCACCCTGATCTGGGCTCCCTTTGAAACACATGGGGAAAGGGAGGTGTGATGGCCAGGGCCTTATGAAAGCCAAAACGCTGAGCCATCTCAGCTTGCCAGTAGGAAACACTGTGGACAGGTGTGTGCATCCAAAATCCTCTCCCTCTCTAAGTCTTTAATCCCTAATTCTGCAGAAAGGCAGGTTTCCTGCCAATTCAAAATTCACAGCCCTGAACATGTGCCCAGAGGTAGGCACACAAGCCACTTCTTTCAAGCAACAGTAATTCCTTTCAGAGCACATCTGTGAAAGAAAATGGTTCTGTCCTTTCCTTCCTCCCACTCTCTCCCAGCCCTCTATCCAACAGATGAGTAGCCAGTACTTTATCCAAGCGTGATGTAATATGAAATATGAATGAATGCTCAGAGTAGAGAGAGGAAACCTATTCCTTCCTAGCAAGTGCCTCAATCCATAGGCTACACAGTTGCACTCACTCTCCTCTCTTGCCCCCTTTCTGTCCCAACACATTTTTTTCATTCAGTGGAATAGCTTCTCACACAGACACTGAACCCTAGACTAGCCCTGGCCTGGTAGGCAGGGAACTACCTTGCAAAGTGGGAGATGTTGGCATGGTATGGGATTTATGAATCCCCCATCAAGCAGAGGAGGCAAAGTACCTCCAGTCACTGAGCTTATTGGATAGAAGAGGGGCTATTGGATAGAAGAGGGGCTCCACCCCAGGCTCTTAAAAAGAAAGCTGGGCAGTGTGTTTTATGTGGAGCCTGGTTCATCAGGTGCCCTCTCAGAGTGCTACCAGATCAAGTCCCTCAGCTGAGACAGGCAGAGAAACACCTATTTTGTTAAAAATAATGGAGCTCAGGTATGAGATGGGTGCTGGGCTGCCCAGCAGTGCCAAAACTGTTGGTGCTGCTTAGCATTTCTGAACATATCCAAAACAGACTTTAGGCACCTGGAGAACTTTCAAACATGAGACACCTGCAGGGTTAGGCAGCAAGTTGGTAAGGTTTTTTTAAGACTATAGTTTTACATTAAGGCATGTAAATCCCACTTTAGGTGCCTTGGTGCTTCTGTGGATCAGTATCAATATCAGTGATTCTCAGCAGGGTGCCATGAGGCACAAGGAGATAAGCATATAGGCACAAGGTCAGGCTTGGCTCTGTCTAGCCAATCCCCCACTTACACTGCCCGGCTCTTCTGCAAGGAAGTACACACTATAATATACAGTTGTGGGGGGTTTTTTAAAATTAGGTGCCACTCAGTTCACAAAAGTTATGGAGGGGTGCCTCAAGTCCAATGAGGGGTGCCTCAAGTCCAAAAAAGGTTAAGAACCACTGGTCTAGATACTCACCAAGAAGAATATCGTTTGCATAACTTGTCTCCCTATTTGTGACAAAAAACATACCTAAACACAGTGAAAACTACCAATGCTTTGTGATGGGTGCATGTGGACAGCACAATCTTCTATTCTCAATGACCCTAATCCAGGTAAACCATGCTACTTAGTTTTAAGTCTCTGAAAATATGTAGCATTCTCTTGTGTGCGCTTGATGGCATGGGGCTCAGTATGTGAGAGCACTTTCCCCGTGTTTCTTCTGAGTAAACCAAGATGCTCTAGGTCAGCAAAAGCAATCCTGTTGGCAAAAGATGGGCAGGGGATAGAAGCATACAGGTACAAGCAGTGTCAGCTTCTTTACCTTGCTTGGAAAGAAAAAACTTCTTTTGCTTTTCAGATAGTTTGATAAGTTTCCATATTTGCAATATTCAACAATAACCATCAGAGGCCCTGAGTGGAAGTAAAATGCATTTTCAGTGGTGTAAAGCAAGACCTGAGAAAAGGAGTCTGTTTGGAACAAGGGTCTATCATAACATCACACATTTTTGGGCAGAATGAGTGGCTCAAACCCATACCCCACACATGAAATCCCCTCCCATCCTCTCCTCTCCCCCCCACCCCCAACCAAGTTACTGGGGAAGTTTCAGTTCATACTGGAATTGTACAGTCTTAGTCCACATCAAATAAAATGAGGCAGTGTATCCAAAATGAATTACTGCCCATTTATTGGATGCTCGGTTGTCTTACTAGCACCTTGTGAGGAGATTTATCAAAGTGTATCTCATGTCTGATCATTCAGAGTCACTGGCCATTTCTGAAGTACCACTGGTTCCTGCCCTTTCTATGTTACACTGATCTCAACTTCAGAAGCAGGGCACAGGGCAAGGACTGTTCTCTTGTAAAGGATGGTCTTCATTACAGCTTCATGTGTTAAAACGAAGAGGAACCTGTAAGTTCCTTTAAACCCATGGTGTGGCCACATCTGGAATACTGTGTGCAAGTTTGGTCACCTTATCCCAAAAAGATGTGTTAGCACTGGGAAAGGTACAGAAAAGGGCAAAAATCACAGTCAGAGATGTGGAATGCTTCCATAGAAGGAGAGACTTAAACGATTTAGGTTCTTTGTCCTGGAAAAGATGACTGAGGGGGCATATTGTAGAGGTCTATAAATCATGACTGTGGTGGAAAAAGTGAATATGGAACTGTTAATTACCATGTCTGATTACACATAAATCAAGTGTTACCTGATGTAACTATCAGGCAGTGGGTTGAAATACACAAAAGGAAGTGCTTCCCCCCAACAAAACTCCTAATTCACACATTTAACTTTTTGCCACAGGATTTTGTGGAGGTCAGTAATGTAACTGGGTTCAAAATGGGATTGAACAAATCTATGGAGGATGGGTCCCACAGGTGTACAAAATGCAACAGGTAGGAATATAGCCTCAAGCTCAGGGCATCTCAAAACTTATGACTGCTGATGACTGGAAAAGCATAACATGGGATGGATCACTATACATATGGCCTCTTTTTATGTTTTTCCTTTCAAACATCTTCTACTTGTTAGTGTGGAAGACAGGATACTGCACTAGATAAAACTTTGATCTGATTTGATGTGGAAATTCTTATGTCAAAAGGGACATCTCTGTTTCACTACCCCTTTTTGCCAAGTAGAGAGAGCTCAAGTACATACATGTAAAATTAAGCAAAAAGACAATAACTTCACATTGGGATAACATTAAAAAAATATATGCTCAATTGATTATTGTTCAGAGAACACCTAATCCCATTTTAGTGCAGTGCACCTTCTTTTACCTCCACTTTTTGTGCAAGCTCCAAGAAGGTTTACTATATTTAGATGATGCCCAATATGTATCAGGATTTTCAATTCACTCATCAAAGCTTTGTATTCACTTGCTGTGGCACCTTCTGTGAACACAAAAGAGAGTCCATGTAAGATGATAAACCAGCACTTCATTGAGGGAACTATGGCATCATATATATCATATATATATTTGAAATAATTGTCATTAGTGAGTATACTTCCATGTATTTCTGGGTTTTTTTCTGTCCCTATGTGCCCAGCATCCTTTGAATTGAAGTAAAATCCCTTAAAGACATAATCAATCTTCATTTCCTCCCAACAGATCCTTTTAAATTTCGAACTGAGCAAATTTTTTTATGTCAACAGCCTATAGTTTTGGCCAAAAAAAATTAAAATTTCAAGACCAAATTTAGCTAAATTTAATTGAATTTAAATTTAAATTTGGTTAAAAACCCTGAAAACAAAATGTTTCATTTTGGGTTGGATGCATTCAACTGAAGCAATTTTTTTTCTTTATATGCTGTATATTTAATCTTGGTAAGAAAACTGATTTTTTGGGGAGGCAGCTGAGGATTTTTTTCCCCTAGCAGACAGAACAGAGAGCTGTGACTCCAGGCACCTGGTCTCAGTAACAGACTTACTGTGTGATCTGGCCCACAACATTAAATTTACTCTGAGGCTTATTTCCCCATTGGTAAAAATGGGGCTCATACTTCACCAGACTATTGTGACATAAGGGGTGTTCCTTATCACACAGAAGTGTTGAGTAGGATATGCATTAATGACTGTGAGGTGCTCAGGTAGTACAGCAATGATGCCATGTGTGCTGTACTTGTCCCCTGCCTAATGGAAAAGCAATCCTCTGACTGACTTTATAGACCTGAAAATCAAGCCTTCATCAGCCTCCTCATGCTAAAGCCCTGGAAAATCTTGTTGTTATTTCTTAGACCTCCAAGACCAGAAAGTCATATGTTAGCAAATCAATTCTGTTACTAAGGGTTGCTAAGCTAGATGACACATGCTACCCAGAGACTGGGACCAGGTGCAGGGGTGAAAAGGCAGCTGCACATCTACCTCTTGTCCTACTTTCTACTGCAGGTGCAATGGTCAGGGGAACGTTCTCAAAATCACACTTGGTCAGCACAGCTCAGCTGGGGAGAGGGTGGGTTTGCAGTAGTCTGTTGCTGGTTTAGGCCAGCAAAATATTATTATAGCTCTGGGATAGTGAGAAGCAATTAGGAAATTGTGATACCCCAAGCCACCATCTACCTCAAGAATGCCCCAAGTAGCACACCAGTGGTGCACTACTCCTTACTAATGCATTTGATTTAGGACTGCTCAACATTCACATAAAACTGTGCTGTAAAATATCAGGAAAGCACATACTAAATGGATTAAACATGGCTGACAGAGATCTCAGAAACCAATCGTCAATGAGGAATTATCATAGCAAAGGGTGTTTCTAGAGTGGTTCTGCAGGAACCAGTGTTAGACCCAACATACTACAGGCCCATAAGACAGGAACCACTAGCTAGAAGCTGAAGGCAGGCATATTCAATTTAGAAGTTAAGGTACTTTTTACCAGTAAGCAATTGAATTCTTTACTTCTCAGTCTCTTCAGATTAACACTGAATGGCTTTCTGGAAGATGTGCTTTAGCTAAATACAAGTTAATAGGCTCAATATGTGAATAACTGGGAGTAATGTAGTGGCCTGTGATTACAGTAGGTCACAGTAGATGATCTGATTGTTCATCCTGGCTTTTTAGTCTCTAAATTTTCCTGTGGGTTTACTTTTGGAATACAGTCTAACTCACAAGCCATTCTTCCTTGTGAGTTTTCCCTGCTGATGATGCTAATTAAATCTGTTTCAAAAGTTTTTTTTCCAGCAACCAGGCAACTGAGCCCATAATCAATAAGGTTTCTTCAGCACTTTGACTAGGAACCTTATTTTCACTTTAAGGGTTTGCTGCTTCATAGAACAATTTGATCTGAACTTAAACTTGATATCCAAGTTTTGTTTATTTAAAAAATAAACTAGTCCAGGTAACATTTTCTCTCTCAATTCACATCCGTAACAAGAGCTAAAAGATAAGCAGTACATCATACATCAAGGCAATCCAGCAGCAGAATACCTTTCAGCATTTTCACAGCAACTATTCTGTATGTGGGTGATTTTTTAATTCCAAAAGCAGCCGCTTGTATCACTTTCCCAAAAGCCCCATGGCCAAGTGATTTTCCTGCAAAGAAAATAAATGGCAGAGAGATGCACATAAAAAAAAAATTAAAAACTCCATAGACAATGCTCTACAAATGTTTCCAAATATATTTTTACAAGATGTTAACACCATAGAGTGAATTCTTTATGGTACCCCAGGGAGGCAAGCTAGAATGGGGTAGGAGCATCGTCAGTAAAGGGAACCTAAACAGCTACCACTCTTAGCAACAAATATGCATTTACCCCCATCCTTCCGGGATTGTCCTACCCAATGAGGAAGGGGTGTCACCTTAACAGCAAATTCCCTGGGTGGGGTAGAGGAGGCTGAGGCCAGCACTAAGGCTGGCCCCAGCAGCCCTACCTGGGGTCTTGGGGGCTTCCCAGGGCTCTAGTGGCAGTGATCTGGTGCACAGAGCCTGGCTGTCACCAGGATCTCTCCGTGTCATACTGCACATGCATGCTTATCTGAATGTACCCCAAAACAGCAAGCTGTATTATGCCCAAACACATGATTGCTATAAACCTGACTGCCATAAACCCACTCTACCTCGACTGGGCCTACTGGGCTGGCTGCCATACTACTGGTGGTGGCTGTGTTTGTCTCCAAAGACAGTGCCCAGGGCTGATGCTGCAGTCATCCCACTCAGTTATGCTACTGGGGGGAGTCTGAGTGTCTTACTGCCTCAGCATCTGCAGTAGCAGAAGGGCTGTCACTGCAGCAACTATGAACACCATTAAGAGTAGCAGACCCAGCTAGGAATGGCCAGAGTGGAGTTTGAAGGTAGTTTCTATTTTTCCCAGCCCTCACCAGGCAGGTAGGACTAAAGCAGCCCCCTCTTCCCAGACAGATAATCTGGCAGAATTTCCCCAGGAGAAATCAAAGGCTTCAAGGCTGCTCCTGTACCCAGGGCTTGTGTGAACTCGAATATTAGCCAGCATACTAGGCACTTTGTGTGCTGAGGTGAGATGCCGCACTCCTTGGTGTTACCAGTTCTCATGGATTTTATCAGTCATCTCAATATTTTGGTGGGGGTGGTTTTTCTTACAGCTCCGACTATAATCATAACATGGTCACAGGCAAAACTAGCCTCATAAAAATAAGCTTCTAGACCGCATAGCAGCAGAGAAAAGTTGTAAAAACAAGACTCAAATATATCCTAGAGGTTTAGAAACCAACTAGGAACCCAAACGTGTGTGTGTGTGTGTGTGTGTGTGTGTGTGTGTGTGTGTGTGTGTGTGTGTGTGTGTAAGCCAATGTCCTTTTTGTGGCTTCTCAAGGTTTTCAGATGCCTAAGTTGTTGGCAATACCGATTTCTTTTCCCCTATCTAACCATCCCAGTGAGATCCTGGTTTACTTGTTCCTTCTTTAGTGGCTGAGACATCATGATGTGAGAAATCCTCTCAGAAAATATTTTCTAAAATCATAATCCCAAGCATTTCACTTCATTTTGTGTTGTTGCTTCAGTTACACCCAGTAAGTACCCAGTAGAACACATTTTACCAACTTTTCTAGCACTCTTGTGTCTGTAGTAAAACAACTGATACAGTGGTGAGGGAAAAACAACAGCAAGTAAAGCTCCATTCAAAACAAAAGAAAAAAAGTCAAAATATGCAACAGAGGTAAGACTTATTCCTCAAATATGTAAATTGGACAGTATATAATTTGCACAACATCTCTCTCTTTCTTGACCTTCTACCTTAACCAGTAGGATGATGCAAAAATGAACCATTGACTTTGTCAGCAGAACTGTAAATTTACACACACATCCTTCCATAGATTTTGGGAGGTACAGGAAACCAGAGCTATATTCCTGCAGATATTAGAAAGCAGGCTGAAAGAAGGGAGCTGTCTCCATTTTCCAGCCCAGTGTTTCTTGTCATAATGCAGATCACTATGAAAACATAAAGAAATTCTATGGCCACCCTTGTTCAGGTGGTGGGAAGAAAAATAGTAAGAAAAATAGGAAGTATAATTTCCCTCAGCATTATAAAATGTTCTGCATTTTTACATTAAAAATACTATCTATGCTGCCTAGCAGGACAACAGTCTGACCAACAATTTGTCAAACTTGCAGTTTCAACCCCAAGAAGGTTTAGTATTTTTTAAAGATCTCTGTGGGCTTCTCCCCTACAATTTCTATGCTTAGCTGTCAACTTGATTAGATTCTACAGTCCTTGCTTGATGGAAATGATCCATGTATAAGAGAAGCAGTATCAAGATTTAGGTCAGAGCTTTCCTAGTAGGGTAATGTGATACTTTTTGGGTCTTCACAGCATAGCAATCACTAATTAGCTCATTACAGGTGTCTTGCCCATAGAACTACAACCTCTGTATTCATAGTAAGCTTGACAAACCCATCATTTTATTGGTTCCATCAGTAATTTCCCACACTGGGATAAACAGTTTAATCACTACTTCATAAAGCTATTATCTCTTAAATCGATCTAAACACTGGAAACACTTCCCTTCTGATTCACCACTTTGATTTCACTGAAAATTGCACTAAAATGGATTCTACTTCTCCATTTTTACTCTATTGTTTTGCATCACATTAATTGCTGACACAAAACAGGGTGTTTTTTTCACTGTGTGAACCCAATTTAATCCCAGATTGGGGGTTTTGTCCAAATCTCCTCCCATAAATCATTTCTGTAACAGATGTTTACGTGGAAAACATTAGGAAAGTATTAACGGATTCTTAGCTATTTTGTAATATAGTTTGGCAGATGAAAATAAGGAGCTGGTATTGTATACACAGACCACTAGCTGCTCTCACTGAGACCTCTGATGCTGGGAATAGCGCAACATTTACATTCAACTCAAGGATTTGGAATTCTCTCCTTAACATTCCAGAAACTGGCAGTTCCTTAGCTTAATCCTAAATCCATTAAAGTCCATGAAGAATGACTTCAGTGGTTTTTGGATCAGGCGGTTTCCATCTGGGAACAGTTCAACAAGATAATTAAGCATGAGCTATTTGTAAATATGTGAGTTGTCTTCATAAAGGCATGCAGGGGCAACCCGTTCTTGTTATATGCTGTTGGCTCCAACTAACTGTGGAGAGGCACAGACACACAGTAACTTTGATGACATGTTCCAGATGTTCTGCATCAGAAGATTCCTGCTTTAAAATCATAGAATCAGAGAAAATTAGGGTTGCAAGGGACCTCAAGAAGTCAACTAGCCTAATCCACTGCTCAAAACAGGAGCATCCCCAACTAGATAATTCCAGCCAGGGTTTTGTTGAGTCAGGCCTTAAAAACCTCCAAGGATGGAGATTCTACCACCTCTCTAGGTAACCTCCTTCCAGTGTTTCACCACCCTCCTAGTAAGAAAGTTTTTCCTAATATCCAATTTAAACCTCCCTTGCTGCACCTTGTAACCACTGCTCCTTGTTCTGCCATCTGTTGCCACTGAGAACAGTCTAGCTCCATCCTCTTTGTAAGCAGAGCCAGATTAACGCATGGAAAAACTAGGCACATACCTAGGGCCTTGAGCTGCGGAGAGGAGGGTTGATCCTTCTCTCTGCAGCAGCAGCGTGAATGGCCCCATCTGCCTCCCTTCCCTTCCGGGCAGGGCTGCTGCTGCCCCAGGGACTGCACGCTTTCCCCAGCCTCCATCTCGATCTGGGCACTAGGAAGATAGAGGGCAGGTGTGGGGGGAGGCTGCAGCTGGGCGGGAGCACAGAGCCCATGCCCAGGGGAGCAGTGGGAGTGCGGAGCCTGAGTGGCCAGGGTGTGGATGTAAGGGAGGTTGTGGGGTGTGGGGATCCCTCACACACTCCCACCCTACGGTGCACAGCCCTTGCTGTCAGCAGCAGCAGCCCTCTGGGCACTCGTGGCCCACACAGGCCCAGGCACACAGCTCCAGCCAGCACTGCACAGTGGGAGTAAGGAGCCACCTCTTGTGGCGGGCTCTGCGCAGCATAACTGCAACTCCACACTACTGGGGAAAGCCCGGAGCTGGCTGCTTTCCCTGCCCCCTGCCGTGAAGGTTGCAGGAAGCAGAGGGAGGGGAAGGCAGCCAGCTGCAGCCTGCACTGCTTCTGCCCCAGAACTGCACATGGGCTGCACGGAGCCCAGTGTGAGAGGTTCAGTTCATGATTTTTCTGTGGACTGAGGTGAGACTGACTGGTCTGTAGTTCCCTGGATTCTTGTTCTTCCCTTTCTTAAAGATGGGCACTATATTTGCTCTTTTCCAGTTGTCTGGGACATCCCCTGATCACCATGAGTTTTCAAAGATAATAGTCAGCAGCTCTGCAATCTCATCAGCCATCTCCCTCAGCACCATCAGATGCATCCCACCTGGCCCCATGGACTTGTACACATCCAGCTTCTCTAAGTAGTCCCTAGCCTGTTCTTTCACCACTGAGCACTGCTCACGTCCTGCCCAAACTGTGCTGCCCAGTGCAGTAGTCTGGGAGCTAAGCTTGCCTGTGAAGACTGAGGTAAAAAAGGCATCAAGTACTTCAGCCTTTTCCTCATCATCCATCACTAGGTTGCCCCCCCATTCAGTAAGGGACACACACTTTTCCTGACCTTCCTCTTGTTGCCAACACACTTGTAGAAACCCTTCTTGTTACCCTTCACTTCCCTTGCTGGCTGCAACTCCAATTTTGCTTTGGTCTTCCTGATTTCATCCCTGCATGGTCTGGAATGATTTATGAGTAGCTATGCCTATACTTTAGTATGGGTGTTTCCCATGCTTCTGGGCTTTGATGATTGCCACAAGGGTCTGGGAAGGATTTTTTTTTGCCTTCTGCTGCTACATGTTAGAGTTGGGTTTTGTTTTGCTTTTCAAGCCTTCCTCAGACCCTTTGGGTGTTGGCTGCAGCCAAGGCTGGGGACGGTGACTAGGATGTGCCAAAGCTCCTGCTGGGACTTAAACCCAGAGATTCCTGGCTAGAGCGTCTCACCCCTCCACACAGGGGCATACCAATCTCTGTATCTGTGGTCAGATTAGTATGGACTGTAGGGGTCTTTGACTTCCTCTGTAGTGGGGGGCATGCCTCTCCTCCTCGGATCTCTTGAATATACATTAACTACCTTAGGGCAGCAGGACTTTGGCTGCCATGATTCTCCTGCTTTACCTGTGGTAGGTAAGGATGTTAAGTCTTGTGGTTGTGTCAGGGTTGACTGTGTAGCGTTGCTAAGAGGTAAGATGGTTTGGATAGAGATGATCCTGCCTCAGGCAGAGGGTTGGATTAGATGACCTCTTCAAACCCTACTTCTCTATAAATCTCTATCAGTAGGGCTGTTCAATATCAAGGCAGCTGGGGGCCACATAAGGCACAGGCTGTAAATCTGGGGGCTGCAGACTTGGGGGTCAGAAGCCATGCAGGCTCCATGCCATGCTCAGAGCCAGCCCCGCTCAATTCCTGTTGCAGAGGCAGCCCTACTTACCCCCTCCCAGCTGTGTGGGACTCCCCTGCAGCACAGGCAGTATAGGCATCCCCGTTTCCTCTTCAGCCATGAGTATGTGTAACAAGCAGCCTAGTCCCTTGGTATATGCACAGCATGGGCAGGGCACTCCAGCTCTCTCCTGCTATGCTACCCTGCCCCTAGCAGAGGGGCAGGAAGCAGAACCTGGAGGAGGGAGGGGGAGTTCAAAGAATACAGTCACCAGAGCAGGAGCAACTGGGGAGAGTGGTGTCCAGACCAAAACCCACAGGCTGCATGCTAACTCTTTGGAAGACGCATGTGGCCTGTGGGCTGCCAGTTGGACAGCCCTGTATTACAACATTAGCAGCTTAATAGTTATCGTCACAAGTGAAGAGTTATGTACACGCTTACTAAATGCTTAGGATAGTAACTAAGACCTATTTCATAACACTGGAATTTTACTATCCGGTTTTGGAGCTAGGTTTTAGTTCTGTTTACACTAATTTAAGGTGGAAGTAATTCTGCTGACTTTAGTGGAGTAATATGCGTTTTTTCTGTTAGTGTCTGTAGCCATATTCGATGACAAGGACGTCCTCCCCTCCACTATATGGTTGTTGTATCAGTTGCGCCAATGATAAGAACTAATGTTTGAAAAAAAGGCAGCTGAAATACAGTGTGATTGTTCTTACATTGGTTACGCTAAATAAGCATGTGGAAGAAAAAAAACACTGATAAAAAAAACAGGCACATCTGATGTTGGAAGGATCAGTGTTTGTAAGTAGTACATCAAAAGGAACCCAGACAAGAAGATTTCATGTTTGAGAGACTATTATTCCATGAGGCTGCCAAGGTCACTGAAAGAGTGGGTTAGCTGCCACATGAATGCGACCTGTACAGACCTAATCTAACAGACCGTGCATACTTTGCGTTTTCCAAATCTGGTTCTCATTCACTGTCAACATTCTTTACTTGTTTACACCAGTTCTTTCACTATAACTAATTCTCTGGTTCCTTCCTTCCTCACCTCTAGACCTTTAAAGGCTAAACCTACTCGGGTCAAACTTCCTTGGTGTTTCAGTTCCATGTCTGCTGGCTTCTTTCCATGCAGCTTATACAAAACCATAAAGCATAGACAGGAAGTATATTGTTTGCCTATTGTGATCTTCGTCCACTAATGCAATAAAATTGCTTCAAAGTAAAGAGACTTCAATTAGATTTTTGGCTTCAACATTCACCAAATTATGTAAGATTATTAAAATGGCTACCAATATACTGTATTTGGGATGTATTCATACTGGTCTCTCTGCAAGAATATACCTTTACTTTCACCTATATCCCAGTTCATAAGAAATACAAAGCAGCACAATTTGCTATATTTTATTCTTCACATCTAGTTTCTAAATAGTCATATGGAAAGCCACCAGTTGGAGAACTTAATTCATTTAAGTCATAACATTTTTATACGGAGTAGCTCACTAACACCCTCATGTACATCTGCCGTGCAGATCTAAAATTCATTATTTAATTACCTGTCTCCAGCCTGTAATTAAAACCACATCTAATTCAATAATTACGAAGCCAATGTTAATATTATACTAAGCGTATTACCTAGTTTTAGCCTTTCTCTTGCAAATTCCCATTTGCTGGCATCATAAGGAAGAAGTTCACATTGCTCATCTAAGGGGACTTCCTCAGGATCCATTATGATTGACAGGTAATTGGTCTTTATGTCCGAAGAATAAGGCTAGGAAATTAAAAAAAAAAATTCAGTCACCACAAAGCAGACAACGATCCTGAATAACATCTGGTTTTGGTCAAAGGAAGGAAAATGAATTAGATCTGACTGGTGAATACAAAGCACCTCTCCCCATAAAGCTGTGTGTTTCACACTCTAACATACAATCTCCTAGGGATTCTTTTAGTTCAATTCAACACTGACACTTTTTTTTAAGAGCAATCTTCCCTCCACCTTTTCTTCTATGTGACATAGTCGGTTTCTCCCATGAAATCCATATGAATTCTCACTCTAGTAATTGTCATACAATACAGACTCTTTCTGTACTTTCACAAAGAAATATTTTCAGAAAATAATTAACCACCATCACTAAAAATAGCTCTGTTTCATGACTGTGCAAAAAAATACTGGTCTATGCAACAGATGGAGTTCAACTGTCAATGTTTCTTACATGCATCCAGGAGAAAGGTCAATTGTGGTTTGAGGGTTGCGCAAGACTCAGACTCAGTCTGCAAGACACTGAACATGACACTTTGGGGTATGCCTTTTCCAATTATTCAGCAATGCTGATTTTTTAGTTGTCATTTCTGATTAATATTGGAATTATTGTGGTACTAGGAGATGAATAAAACACCAAATTTAGAAGGATTATTTCATGTGTTTGTGAAGTTTTTACCTAGCACACTATTCTCCACAATACAAATTTCTGTTTCATATGTGAAAAATTGAGAACTATGAGCTCCATCTAAAGGCTTTAACCTGTACACCAGTTTACATTTTGAAATTTAGTTTCTTTCCAATGAGCATGCAGACCTGTCATCTTAATTTGACTAGGCCTCTTCCTTGTTATAGGAAGTATCATAGGAAGTATTTGAATCTCTCTAAAATATGAAAATGGTTATGTTAATATACAGACTAGATTCTTGGCCATTAGCTCAAAGTTGTCCAAATTTCACTGAAATGAGTATCTGTTGCTATTTCACGTTGCTTTTCCTTGAGCCTGACCAACACCATATGCACACACATGGCACACTCATCTACTTATTCCCAGTTCCTACAGAGAGTGTCCTCCGGCTTTTGGCACTCCTCCTTATAAACATTTTCATGGAACTGCATGAAAGGGAACTGGAGACCAGTGACAGAGTGGTTAGTGGCTCTTGCTGGCTGCTCCAGGCTGATGCTGAACGTTGCCCCAGTACCTCCAGCTGTGAATGAGCACTTGGTCATTCAGGCTGGGGAATTCAAGGTGGCTGGATGTGCTGTTAGATATATCACCTCCATATGACTTGCTTGAAAAGAAGAGCAACCACACTTAACATAGGGCTGCTTTATGGAATAAGGTGTAGAGGTTGAAAATGACAGGTGGCTCTTGCATTTACAAAGCTGCCCACAGAGAAAGGCTGGGCATTCCCTTGAGGCCGTGGTTGCCTTCAGGTGGCAGAAAGGTAGCAAGCTTGCCTCCATACTGCCAGTTCCTCCCATGCACAGAGGTGATATGGATAGGGAGGTACTGAACGTGTGATGTTCCAACTGATCCTCACCTTGTAGATAAGTTCTTATTGGACAATTCCAGCTGGCATACTTTTGAGCAACAGTTAGGCTGTTGTGCTGTGATCCATTTCATGATATCAGTTCCAGCACTGGGGAACTGCAATTTAGTGCCATTATTTATTAATTGTTCTATCCTTAATGCAAGTGGAATAATTGGTACCTATCAAATGTATAGTTTCTCTATACTTATTTGGATACAATTATATTTCACTTCCATTCTCCTCTTCCCTTTCTTTAGTTTTAAATGTGTCCGGTTTTCTCAACCTTTATGCATGTTTGGAGATCAGGGACAAGACACAGATTATATACTGAAGTCCAGTTACTGAAACAATGCATTTATAATGCAACATATACTTGAGCCTTACTCAAGAAAGAGAATCTTGTGGGCTGGGCTGAAGATATTAAGTTTTTATAAACTATTTGTAAAGAATGTGAGCCTGATTTTCAATTATGCTCCAGCTGCTTTTAGCATTCTGGCAGTGTAAAGGGGGTCTTAAACTGAGCACAAATTACATTTACTTTCAAACTGCCAGTGCTGCCAAATGCAGCTTTTCTGTATTGAGGTTGTTTCTGTAATTAAACCTATTCCTGTACAGAAAGGGAATATGCTATGCTAAGTACATGGTGCGTGTACACCACCGTAACTGTGTCCATGCTATGCATTGTACTATTTCAGTACATTCATATGTCTCTAGCTGACACAGTTATACTTGTGTGAAACCTTTGAGGACTAGGCCTGCCAGGCTTGTGTTTCCCACTTTGATGAATTTTCATGATTTTTCATATGCTTATTCCCAGTTCCTCCAAGTATTCAAGTGCCTACTTTCCATTGATTTCATAGGACATTAATGATTCCAAAGAATCATAGAATCATAGAATTACTGAGTGGGAAGGGACCTAGACAGATCATCTAGTCCGACCCCCTGCCATGGGCAGGAAGGAGCACTGGGGGTGGGAGGGGTCATAAGACCCCA